GGGGACAGAGATGCTCAGTGTCTAACAGTGAACAGGACAGTGTCCCCAGCACAAAAACCATCCACTCCAAACACCAATAGTGGAGAGGCTGAGAAAACCTGTCAGGCTGATCCAGGCATCTGGAACAGGAACTGATCCCACAGCACAGGTTCTATCGTAACGCAGGGGAGGGTTGAGCAAGCTCAGGAGAGTCCAGTCCTTCAGAACATCCTCATACGTGCCAGGGGCCTCCAGCAGATTCCTCAGCTACTATTCCTCCTTGCTGGACTCTTCCACGATGCCAAGAGTGCCACCACTAACGCTCTGGTCATCAAAAGGATGCCCAAAGGTGTGGTCACCGCAAAAGTGGCCTCTTTGAGAGAAAAGCAGAGAAGGAATGGCAGCTGGGAAGCACGACAAGTACGAACGTGACATCTGGGAGGATGGGCGTGGCCTATGAACTCCCATCTGTAAGCCAGGGATATCTGGGTACCACAGCATGGGAGGCTGAGGCAGGAGGATCTCAAATTCAAGGCCAAAGAGGGAGTGGAGTAGGGGAGAAGGTGGGGAGGTGGGACGAAGAACAAACAGCATCCTGGGAGAGCTGAACAAGCACATCAGAAACGCCCAACAGGGCACACTTCCAAACCATAGCTCTGTCAACCAATAGTTGGCAGAAAGAATTACCTAAATTACTTAGTTTACCTTCCTACCTCTTCATCCCCCTCTGCCAAAAAGCATTAGGCTGAATGAACAAAAGACAAAAATTAATGAGCACCTACTATTTGTCAGATGCCCAGGGGAGTCTATGTGGTCAGAGAGCCGCTGGGAAAACCCATCCCGGAGCCATCCATTCAGACAGGTAGTCCTGACATTTGGTGAGTGCCCCTGCCATCCTAGGCTGAATGCTGATCATAGAACCTGGCATCTAGGCTCCTTCCAACCCATCACAGAGAATGCAAGCTGGTACTTAGATCTCCTCACTGAGGGCAAATAATGCTGCAGAGAGGAAGCAACTCTACCTGACCCCAGTTCAGGGCAGCCTGGCCTCCACCTCTGGGCTCACTACATGGGACCCTCCACACAGAATTCAAATTTCCTTCATTCACCCACAAGATTTCTATATTTGTTTCAGATACTAGAAATACTTGGCTGGGTCTATCCTGTCCAAGACAGGTAAAATGCATAGTAATTTATAAAATCTAAACACCAGGGACCTACATTGTCTTGAGGTCATGAACCACCTCCACCATTTGGTCTCTGCTACTTCTTCCTCCCCTTAAAACAGGCCACCCTAGTCTTTTTTTTTTACAACTAAAACAAACATTTATTTACTCATTAATTCATTCATTCGTTTATTTATATGTGTCACTGCTCACAGCTCCGCTGTTCACAAGTGGAGATCAGGCTGTCTGGCCTGGAGGCCAGCATCTACAGCCGCTGAAGCGACTCCTCAATCCCAATCACCCGTCTTCTAAAACAGACAGCTCTTGCTAGAGTCATTACCTTCCTGTTTGTAAGACATGCAAATGGGAACTAAAAGCACAAATCTCCAGAAAACTGTTCAAAACCTCTAGCCTGCTGGGAAGCAGGGAGGATGAGGAGGGTAGAGATTAAATATGGGTCCTATATGTGGCATGGAGGCACATCAAAGCCCTCAAGAAGCTGAGAGAGGAAGACAGTTAGTTTAATGCTGGCCTCATCTTACATAGACCCCATCTCAAAAAAGAAAAACCAAGCAAGCAAGCACTGTGTGGACCTAGGAGCCAGGCAGACTTGGCCCTGAACCCAGCCCTGCCTCACAGTAGTCTCTGACAAGCTACCTGACCTAGATGTGTCTGCTCTGCCCCAAGCCAGCCTCCTCTGACCACTGGAAAGACTGCAAGGTAATCTGGTAAAGAACTCAATCAGAGCCACAAATGTTTGCCATCATCAGATGACATACAGATCAGACACCCAGAAACACCAGACATGCCCCGTCACAGTCCTCCCTGTCACGGGTAATGCACTTCAAAGGACATGGCCAAAGTGACACAGTCACTCCCAGGTACCCATGCACGTCTTTACAGGTGGTAGCATTTATTAGACAGTCAGCAAACCAGCCCTCTAATTCCTCTGTGTACCCATCCACCTGGGAATAGGACACCTTCTCCCCACAAGGCACAGTAGTTAACAGGGTCGGAATCTGCCTTGGGCAGAGCGCTGGCTCCATCACCCCCTAGAGGCGACCTAGCCTCTCCACGCTTCAGGTCATCTTCTGTAAAGTGGACAGAACAGTCACAACTACTTCAAGATTACTAGAAATACTATCCGGCAAAGAGGAAGCAAACTTTTTTGTTTTGACACAAGACCTCAATACGTAGCTTTGGTGGGCCTGGAGCTTACAATGTAGGACCAAGCTGCCCTCAAACTCAGAGAGATCTGCCTGCCTCTGCCTGCTGAGCTTAAATGGGTATGCCACCACGCCCAGCTGAGCAAACAATTTTTAATTGACTGATGTTTTTCGTTTCTCTTTTTAAAATTTTTTATTTAATTGATTTTTGTGAGACAGGGTTTCTCTGTGTAATAGCCCTGGCTGTTCTGAAACTCCCTTTGTAGAGCAGGATGGCCTCAAACTCAAGAGATCCGCCTGCCTCTGTCTCCTGAATGCTGGGATTAAGGGTGTGCACCACCACCGCCAGCCCAACTAAATTTTTTTTTTTAAAGAGATGGTCTCTGAACTTCAGATTCATCACGCCTCAAATTAAAACTAACTCAGATCCACAACGCTCAGTCTCCCCCTTATTTTCCTTCCTGTATTCCAGTGCAGCAGCAGCACTGTTTGCTCAAACTAAGAGGTCTCGGCCCCAGCCAGCTTGGTGGCACACGCGTCCTCAATGCCAGCACTCCAAGGCAGAGGCAGGCTGATCTCCGTGAACTGGGAGATATCAACCTCCTTCCTGTGTGTTTTCTCCCCTTGGCCCCTCTGTGTGTGCTTGAAGCCAGGACTCAAGCATGCTAAGACAAGCGCTCTATGGCTGGGCTACACCTTCAGTCTCCCTCTCTGTCCATACACCTTCCTCTCTCGCTTTTCCATTCCAGCTCATCAGATCTCAAACAAGTCTGCCTACAACTCTCTTCCTGCCTACCCTGCCTTGATGCAGACTCTTCTCTTACAAAGGTATCTCTGAGCTCCTTGCAACCTCAGCCCTCTGAAACCTACACTTCTGCTAGGTTTACTGCTAGGGACACCAAACGATCAGCATTTTCCACTTTTGGTCTGGTCCCTGTCCTCTCCATCAGCTCGTTCCACCCTTTCTTCTGGGTCCGACTAAGTCACCACCATTCCAGATTTTTTTCTAGCCCCTTACTCATTACCTATAGCAATATCCCCATCCCCCCACAAACTAAGAACAAGTTATGGACCACACTTCTTCCCCTGTGGCCTCAGCCCTGGCAGTGACAATCTGGAGGTTCTGTGTAAACATGAAATTCGGCATATACATTGAAAATGCTCATTGGATTTAAAGTGACAGACCACCTTTCTCAGTAACACCTCCCAGCTTCCAAATACAGAATCTAGGAGAGGGTGTAAAAGGAACTAGGTAGAGGGGAAAGCAGGTCTTACCCAGGAATGCTTTCCAGATTGCCTGAAAGATAGGGACATATCAGCTGCAGCCAGATCCCTTTTAAGGCAAGTTTTTCTTCTGACCTCTAACTCTGGTGCCCCTTCACCCAAGCTGAGCAAAGGTTAGAGCAACCCACATCTCTGCCCTTCCTGGAGACCAGGTCTGTCCTTTCCAAGGTGTCCCAGGAGCTCAAGTTCTCCTCCCAGAGGAGAGTTTCGGGCATGCACACTTGGTCCACAAATACACCTCTTCCGAAAGCTTAAAGTTTTATACTGAACCCACAAGTAAAACATTCTCAGGCTCAAACAGATCCTCAGCTCACTCAAAGCTCTACAAGCTTTACACTAATCTAGCCACAGCCATACCACTCCCCAAACAGCAAAGCACTGGGTCACCCACCTACCCTCTATCACTGCATCCCTGCCAGTCAGGTGTAAAACAAAACAAAACAGGATCAGAACATTGGCTTCAGCGCTAGGAAGGCTGAGGCAGGAGGACTGCCTGGAACTGAGGCCAGCTTGGGCTACTTAGTGAGCTCCAGGTAAGCCTGGGCTAAAGACCTGGTCTTGAAAACAAGAACAAAACAACAACAAAAATCCAGAACACAGGTTTGCTCCTAGCCTTGGCAATTTCAACCTGATCTTCACCTTGACATATAGTGGTACCAGGCCTACCAAGTCTGGACATGGTCTGGGGCTTTGCCTACTATGTTCCTGGCACAGCAAAAAAGTCTGTGAATTGAGCAGTGTTCGCCAGCCTGTAAACTTGTAGCCACACCCTCCCAAGTGCAGCCATCTTCCTCCCTGATCCCACTGCAGAGGTTTCAGTGGGGCAGGGCAGTCTCTTTCCTCCCCACCTCCACCACACCAGGCCCTCAGTCGACACTAGCTAAGATAAAAACCCATTGTAAAGAGAGGCTTAGCTTATGTAGAAGTATTTGCATTTTTGGGTAAAAGCTACCTGGAACAGCCCCAGACATGGGGGAGGGGATGTGGTTGTCCCACCAGACTCACTCACAGAAGGGTCAGAAGTCAAGGGCCTGGGATAGAATTTACCCGTCTACAACATTAAGACGCGGGAAAGTAAGTGGCAGTAACAGATTCTCACTGGTCTCTGGGTACGATCTTCTGGGTAAAGCGACTCTTTAGTAATGCGTGTCTTAAGCTCCTGAAAGTGGAATCTAGTTGTCAGCTAACGTCCCGGGAATTCTGCAATCCACTTTGGTCTAAACTAACAGTCGGAACTGGGCCCTGTTCCAGGGGTACGGATATTAGGGCTCAGAACTATGAACTACTCCAGCTTCTGAAGGCCGAAGTTCCTCCCCTACGCCCCACAAGGGTGACTGGGGGTCCGGTGTCGAGCTGCAAAGCAGGCGAGTGGGGGACCTCGGAGAGGGATGGAGGGGGCGCTCACCTCTCGAGCGGAGCGCAGCTGCTGGCGCAGCGCATCCTTGCAGCCGTACGGGCCGCCGGCGCCAGAGCCGCGGGGCTGGAAATGCGCCTCGACGCGCGTGGCACCGCGGTAAGCGCCCCGGTAGAAGGCGGGCCAGCCCAGCTCCAAGGCCGGCGGCTCCAGGTCCGACTGCTCGGGAAAGTAGGTGCCTGACGAACAGTCGTGTGAGGAGCCGAACGAGTCCTCGGCCACCGCCGCGCCGTCCTCGCCCGGCCGCTCGGCTGCGCCCAGGACAGCGCGCACCTCATCTGCGTTGAGGAAGCGGCCCAGCCGCTCGCGCCGTAGGAAGGCGGCCCAGGCGTCTGGGCCGCCGGCCAGCAGCTGCTCGAGAGCCAGGCGCCGCGCCTCGCTGAACAACTCGGCGGGGTTGGGTGGTCCGCACGGCGACAGGCAGGCCGCGGGAAGCTCGTCCAACAGCTCACAGTGAGCAGCCATGGCAGCGCTCAGCGAAGATCCACTGAAGTGCGCTGCTCGCCTGAGATTTTTATAGGCACCTTTGAATCAAACCAGCCCGCGCTATTGGCTCGGCGCCCCGCCCCGGACCTCCCATTGGCTGCCTGCCTTCTAGGCAACCCGCAGGCCCCGCCCCCTTGTTGCTATTGGCTTCTCTCTGAAGAAGAACCCGCCCATCGCCTGTTTTCACTGCTTGATGGCTGAGGGAAATTTAAATCTGAGTTTACCCCGCCCTTGCGGTCCTAGAACGGTCCCAGCAGGAGACGGAGCCCCGAGCTGTCCCAGCGCGCCCCCTGCCGGCTTCCCCACCGGAGGCCAGGGACTTGCTCCTGGACAGGCTTTGGTGTGGTCAACTGTATTGCCATTCCATCCTGCATCTATTTATTCATTTTAAAAAAGGAGACTGGAGAGATGGTTCGGCAGCTAAGAGCACTTCTCGAAAATTTGAGTTTGACTCTCATCTTACTTGGTGGCTCACAACTGCCTGTAATTGCTCCATCGGATCCGATGCCCTTTCTGGTATCCACAGATACTGTATGGATACGTGGTGCACAAATAAATAAATGTTTTTCCAATGGTGCAAAACCGGAGGTGGTGGCACACTCCTAGCACATGGGAGGTTGGGGCAGGAGGAGCTGGAGTTCAAAGCCATCTTGCGCTGCATGCCAAATTCAAACTTATCCCAAGCTACATAAGACCTTGTGAGCATATACATACATATCTATATACATATATGCATACATATATGCACACACGTGTGCATCTATATACTAATCCATTGTGGTACCCGCTCCTTCACTGATGGCCTTCCTTTCTTTCCACCCTCACTTCATACTTTTTTGCCCAGCAACACCTCAATCCTATTTAAACCCCACTTTCCACTAGCATCCAGACAGCCATAGAAATAGGATGGGGAAAAGGTGGGATCTTGCTTGTAGACTAACGCACTTCACATTCATGATCTGAATTGTGTTTTTAAAATTAGCTGCCAATGTAATCATACTACAATAATATATATGTATAAAAATGTCATAACAAGTCCGTTATTTTATATGCTAACTAAAAATAATAAAAAGGAAGAAATACCTATTGTTCTTCATAATACCTTTTCCTGTGCTCTTTCCTATTTCACTGAGAAAATATATTTACAGGACATAAGTAGTCATAAAAGAATGTCCACATGTGATCAGCAAGTCTAACTTCCGTTTGCATGGGTAGGCTGTGCCAGAGCTCGACCAACGTTTTTGCCTGGGCAGTAGCTTCCAGCCCTCTACCACTGCCCTGTAGCTCTCCTGAGATTCCTTCCCCTCTTCCACACCATCAATTTTCCTGCTCAAATACTGCTTGAGACAAGGTCTCACTTTGTTGCCCAGACAGGCCTTGAATTCTTGATCTTCCTGCCTCAGTCCCCCAAGGACTGGGATTACAGAGCCATACCACCATGCTCTCCTCAATATTGTTCATCTTTTTAGAAAATACGTTTGTGTGTATATATTGGGGTCAGGAGGTATGTATGTGAGCCCAGGTGCCCCTGGAGGTCGGAAGTGTCAAATTCCCCCAGAGTTGGGGTTTCAAGTGTTTACAAGCAACACATGGACGTTGTGAACCTAGCTTGGGTCCTCTGCAAAAGCAATATATACTCTTAACCACTGAGCCATCTGTCCAGTCCTTCATCTTAAGATAACCATTTCTTGGCTGTAGATTCCTGCAGCCTAGAACCTCAAATGAGTGGCCTGGACTTGTTGTCTTCAGTTTTCTGCTTTGTCCTCTACTCTCTCAAGCAAGTTCATGCAACAACTGTGGTACCAAAGCCTCTGCCTGGGGTCACCCCAAGTTTCACTGGGCTAAATCTAGCAGACAACTTTGTGCAAAGAAGAAAGCATTAGGGCCACTACAAAGCTTTATAAAATGTGATCTTTGTCTCTTGAGACAAGGTTTCATGTAGCCTAGACTGGTCTCAAACTCACCTTGTAGCTGAGGCTGACCTTGCTTGTCTAATCCTCCGCCTCTACCTCAGTAAACTTAAAACAGATGGATGCTGCTGTTAGGACACCCTCTCCTCTCCATCCTTTCTCAGCCCCCAATCTACTCAGGGAAGCTATTCAAGCCCAAGGGTGGGGCCGTCAGTGTGTCCCCACTCTGACATCCAGTGTCCAGAAGCCTACAAGAGGGCAACAACCTTCACAACATCAACTCTTGCATGTAATAAGGACAGGGGCCATGACTTGGGGTTGTACAACCATATGATGTGTCTTTGCCTCTATTTCCTGGTGAGAAAGTGAGAAGAATCAAAGTTTTGTCTACAGTCCTGTTGAATGAGGTAGAGCATTATTCTTCACTATAGCCAAGTGGGGAGCATGGGAAGGCCCAGGACAAGCCAATGTGTCCCGAGTACGGAATAGAGGAGGGGGGCACCCTGGTAACATATAAATATGTCACCAATCAAACTGTAAAATATATGCTGCTATAGGGCATAATGTAATTTCAAAGGGCAAGTTTGACAGAATAAAGCACAATGCTAACCACCTTGAATCCTAACTTTTCACCATCTATCAACTGCGAAAACCCTTCAGCACCACCTGTGAATCTCCAAAGCTCTTCCTGTTCTGGTGACCTCCTCGGAGAGCCTTCTGGGTACAGGCAGGACTGGGAGCCCCCCACCCCAGGCATGGTCTCTTGTAGAACTCAAGTCAGCCCTATGCAGGCGAGTACACAGCAATAACTACAGTCAGATCAACAGGTGTTATTAAAAGGAATTTAATAATCTTAATTAAAAATCCATAACAGCGAATTCCGTCACAGGCCTTGGCAGCTGGAAGTAACTCCAGGGGCACAGGCCCCTTGGGGACATGGTCAGACCCCATCTTGGAGGCATGGCGCTACTTCAATACAATATCAAAGATCCATGAGAATTTTTTTTAAAAAAAGTTTTAAATATATTAGACTCTTTTGATTGCCATTTTTACACAAAGCTGCTGATACAGTATACAGAGTTTTAACTTTTTTTCACATAAAATACATTTTTTTTCCTTAAGTGTTCTCTGTACATCAGTGGCTTCTGGTCTGGTGAGTTATTGCGGAGGGCTGGGGGTCTGCAGACTTTTCTTGGGCGTGCAGAGCCAGGCCCCGCACAGTGGCACTTGAAAGTGCCCACAAGAAGCAGGCCCTCTGACCAAAAAGGGACTCCTGCGGAGGAGAGGCCAAAGGGTTTTCTAGGAAAGTGGTGGGTCACTTCAGTGGAGTTGTCCCCTGGCCATGTGACCCTTGGCTTTTCTGTGCCCTGGGGAAGGGGAGGCTATCACCAGGCTACAAACAGTGAGGGTCCAGACAGTCCTGGTGTCATGGAAGGATGGCCCCTCTGGAAAGCATTCTAATATCCTGCTTTGGGGGAGCAGGTAGGATAGAAAGCTCAGGATCCAAGAGTATCAGACACTAAGAACCAAGAATCTCACACTGTTACAAAGTTAGACTGTGCTAGGTGAACCAGGGAGTCATATTTTACTTTTATTTATTTAATTGATTTTTTTGAGACAGGGCTTCTCTGTAGAGCCCTAACTGGCCTGGAACTCACTGTGCAGACCGGGCTGGTCTTGAATTCAGAAATACATTGCCTGCCTCTGTCTCTCTAGTACTATGATTAAAGGTGCGTGCCACTATGTCCGGCTGGATGCCACACTCTGGCAACCTTTCCAAGCATCTAAACGTTCATCATATAGTGCAGAGAAGCTTCATTAATGCTGAATATTTGATAAAGAATTATATCCCCAAAGTCTTCAGTAGACCTGGGCTTAAGAATCAGTCCAATTCCCTGAGCTACTGGCCAGAAACTCACAATCTGGTTATAGCTACCAATTTCTAATTGTTTAGGGAGCATAGGGTGGGTGCAAGTAACACAGTTCACAGGGAACTGCAGGGCACCAGTTCTGAAATAGATATCTGCAGTTTGCCAAGAATGGCTACCAAGACACAGGTTCCTGGTAGGAGTGGGACATCTGGTCAACCTTGCCAAGCTTCCCCCAGCCCCTGGATCCACACTTTCCAGGGAGAGAGGCTGATACACAGGGAAAGGTTTGCTATGAAAAGGAAAGAGTAATTGTTCTCACTCCCAATATGCATTGGTTGAGTAGGAGAAAAGACTATATGATTTATGAGCAAAAATGAGCAAGAGATGACTATAAAAGCTAAGGATGCATTTGACAGCAAATTACAGGCTTCTAATTCTTCCAGACTCTGACCTCAGACTGCCATTATATTGTTCTCCAGGGATGCTGGCCTTAAGGCTACCTCTGAAGGCTCTAGATGGACTGGTGTGGTATGTCTGCTTGGAACCCGAGATCTAGCATCTGCACTTAGTAGCAAACGTTATCTTGGTGTGGTCATAAAGTTGCACCCCAGCTAAAGAGATTCACGCTACGAACTGCAGGATCTGCAAAGCACAGGGGCACTGGTCTGGGATGCAGGCACTCTTATCAGAATAATGGATGCGTCTGGGGATGCCCACAGTCCTCAAGGGATCAAAGTCCTGGCTGCCTGGCTGGTCCCTTATCTGCAGAAACTACCACCACCTACTACACATGTCTGGTGTGTCTCAGCACCTCAACAGGTTACATGAGTGAATGAGTGGGTGGCCCTGGCTCATGCACTGGAGGTTATTCCTCATCGTGACTCTCAATATTCCAAAGAGTCACAGGGAAAGTGCCCTGGGGACTGGGAGCCCAAACAGGGAACGTTTGTTTGCCCCTGGTGGAAAACATGAACAAAATCTCACGAGTCCACACTGTTTGAGGCTAGCTCCCACAGAAGAGGCAGCTAAGTTTCCCATCCCTCAAGTAGACAGGAATGACCCAGAGGGCAGGAAGAAGTGCTGGGGGTGAAGGAGGAAGGGCCTGAATGGCTCAGAGAGGGCAATAAATGCCTTCACTCTCTGGCCCCTGAGCAAAGAGCTCGGTAACCCTGGGCAGCTGACTCCTAAGAGTATGTGGCTGGCTGCCTGGGCACTGCC